TCCTGGAGTGCATTCCAATTTATGGCAACCCTATTTATTATGCCAGAGTAAAGCTTTGTTCTGCGGGCTCAAAGGCTAATTTATCAGAAGCAAACTTCCTTGCTCCTGAAGGAAAAATAATTGACCTTTATTGCAATCTACTTCATTTGTTTAGATGGATGGATGGATGGATAGATAGATAGATAGATAGATAGAGATGTAGACAGAGAGAGATGGGGGAGCACATGAGAAATAATCAGAGAAGCTGAATTATATAAAGAAGAATGCAGCTTCAGGTTTGGAGGGACGTTTTTTAACAATGTGCAATACCTAGATGACACAACCTTGCTTGCTGAAAGTGAGACGCACTTACTAATGACGATCCAGGATTGCAGCCTTCAACATGGATTACAGTTCAATGTGAAAAGGACACAAATCCTGTAACAGGACCAATTGATGATGTTGTGTTAAATGGAGGAAAGATCAAAACTGCCAAGGATTTCATCTTGCTTGGATCCACAATCAATGCTCATGAAAACAGCAGTCAGCAGATCAAACAAAGCAAAAGATGGAAAGAATACACAGAGTCACAGTCCCCTCCCCCAAAAGATGGACATCCACAATGTCAGGAGGTAGCATATTATCAAGAACTGATGTTACAGAAAGAATATTTTGCACTGACGGTATGGGCAAAATCAAGACTCAAGGGATTGGTAGAGTACCAACTGAGATGTTTCAATAAATTTACCAAACACTGGAAGTTGTCACTGGTCTATGCCAAGAAACTGGCAGGACAGCCCCTTGGCCAATGAACCAGAAGAGATCCATTCCAGAGAAAGGGGATCCAACAGAAAATGTGGGAATTTTCAAATAATATCATTAATATCACCTGTAAGTAAAATTTTGATAAAGATAATTAACGAACAATTGTGGCAATAAGTTGACAGTGAACTACCAGAAATTGTAAACAAATTCAGGATAGGATGTATAAGGAAGGATTGTTTCTAATTTCATAAGGATATTGTCCGAAGAAAGATGAGACTTTCTACTCCTATAAAGAGTTATAGTGTCAAAAGCCCACAGGGGCAGTTCTAGCCTGCCCTATAGGGTCACTGTGAGTCAGAATTGACCCAATGGCAGTGAGTTGGGGTTTACTGTAATTGTCTTGTCGAAAGCAGAGGGTGATAGTTATATAATGTCATATCAACTTGAAGATATAAAAGTGTAGAGATGGTATTCAACCTGTCAAACAGGTCATGGCCTCCTTAAGGACATGGCCTTTTTATAAGGAGGATGCAGGGAACCTCCCCTCTCTCTCTGCTTTGACCTTCCTGCTTGCTGACCCCGAGAGCTGCCAGAGTCCTATGATGTTTTCCACCAACTTTGGATCCACACGACTTTGCACCAACCAACTTGGCATTTTCCTGAATTCTGCATCATTGCCTGTGACTGCATGAGTCTAAAAAGGGACTTATGGACTAGTATTGGATTTATGGACTTGAGTTGGGCTGGGCTGGGATCCTTTCTTGATATATAATTACTCCTTTATATAAAGAGTGTCTCTGCATTTGTTTCTCTAACACACAGAGACTACCAGAAAGATATTTACTTGTATTAGGTTAATTATGGGCATGCATTGGACTATGTGAATCACAACAAATTAAAGATAGTATGTGAAGAACGGGAATCCCAGAACACATCATTTTGCTCGTGTGGAACCTGCACATGGATCAAGAAGCAGTTATGAGAACATAACAAGCAAATACTACGTGGATTAAAATCAAGAAAGGTGTGTGACAGGTTGTATCCTTTCATCATACTTACTCAATCTTTAAGATGAGCAAATAATCAGAGAAACTGGCTTATATGAAGAAGAATATGGCATTAGGATTAGTGGAAGGCTTAGTAACAACCTTCAATCTGCAGATAGCACAACCTTGCTTGCTGAAAGTTTGAGGGATTTGGGGCATTTGCTGATGAAAATCAAGAATTGTATCCTCCATTACAAATTTCAACTCAGTGTAAAGAAAGCCAAGACCTTTCCAAATGGACCAATACACACCATCGTGGTGAGTGGAGACCCAAATGGACCAATACACACCATCGTGGTGAGTGGAGACCCAAATGGACCAATACACACCATCGTGGTGAGTGGAGAAAAGACAGACGTTGTAGGGGGTTTCGTTTTGCTCAGATCAGTGCACAGGAAAATAGCATCGAATTAAACCAAAGTAGGTGTTGATCATTGTTCAAATTTGCTGCACAAGACTTCTTTCAAGTGTTGAAGAGCAAGGATGTCACTTTGAAGGCTAAGGTGCACCCGATCCAAGCCATGTGTGATAGTTAAAGTTTGATGTCCACTGTAGTGGGCCAGATTTTCAATGGTCTGGTAGTGACATTTAGTAATCCCCAATGGCCCGAACTGCAGCAGCGCAACCAAAGCCAATCAGTTGTACAAGAATGTTGGGAACGATACAACCAAGAGGAGTGGTGTTGTATTCATCATTGAAAATTAAAGTGCCTTGATATCTACAAAGCTGTGATATCTATCCACCTTCAAGGAAGTCCAATCAATATAACTATTATTCAAATTGAAGCACAAACCATTAAAGCTAGTGATGCAGAAATTGGAGAATTCTATCAACTTCTTCAGTCTGAAATTGATCAAACATGCAATCAAGAGGCATTGATAACAATTGGCAACTGGACTGCACAAATTGGAAACAAAGAGGAAGGAAGTTAGAAAAAACAGTAGTTAGAAATAGGATCTTAAAAAAAAGAAACAGGATCTTGCTGATAGAAACAAAGCTGGAGGTTGCATGATACAATTGGGCAAAAGAAACCACTTGTTCAAAGCAAATGCCTCTTTTCAGCAACACAATGGCAACTACACATATAGACTTCACCCAATGGAATACACCAAAATAAACTTGGCTGTATCTGTGGGAAGAGACGAGGGAGAGACTCAATAACAGCAGCTAAAACGGGTCCAAGGACTGACTGCAGAAATGACTATTAATTGCTCATATGTGAGTTCAGATCAAAGTTTATATCCTACCTGAAATTTGAGAACATCTCAATAACGGATTTGATGCATTGGACACTAATGACAGCGACCTGATGAACTGTGGTAGGACATCAAGAATATCACACATGAAGAAAGCGAAAGGTCATTAAAAAGATAGGAAAGAAAGAAAGAATCAAAATTGATGTCAGAAGAGGCTCTGTAATTTGCACTGAATTGTAGCGTAGCTAAAGCAGATGAAGAAATGATGACATCAAAGAACTGAACAGAGACTTTCTAAAGGCAGCTCGAGAAGAAAAAGTAAAATACTGAAACTTTCTATGGGGAAAACATTGAATGATGCAGGAAGCATCAAAAGAACATGGAAAGAATACAGAGTCAAAAAGAACAACTTGACATTTGACCATTTCAAGAGGTATCATATGAGCAAAAACCAATGGTACTAAAGGAAGAAATTCAAGTTGCACTGAAATATAAATAAATAAAATAATAATAAATTATTGACCAAAAACAAGGCTCCAGGAATAGATGGAATACCAGTTGAAATGTTTCAAGAAGCCAGTGAAGCACTAGACACACTCACTCATCTATGCCAGGAGTTTTGGAAGATAGCTACTTGGCCAACTGACTGGAAGATATCCGTATTTGTACCCATTCCAAAGAAAGAGGACCTAAAAGAATGTGCAAATTATAGAACAAGAAAATTAATGTCACATGCAGGTAAAGATCATCCCACAATTATTGTAGCAGTCCATTGACAGGGAGCTTCAGGCTGGATTCAGAAGAGGACCTGGAACAAGGGATCTCCTGGCTGATGTCAGATGGATCTTGGCTTAAAAGCAGAGAACACCAGGAAGATATTCACTTGTGTTTATTGACTGTGCTAAGGCCTTCATCTAACAAACTATGGATAACCTTGTGACCCTTCTGTGAGGGGATGTCCCCTTGTCTACATAGGGACTTTGGCTCTCTATTCCAACCCCCCTCATTCTCATCGATATGATTGTTTGTTTTGGGTCTTCTGATGCCTGATACAATCCTGTTGACACTTCATGATCACATAGACTGTATTCTTTTTTAAAATAAAGATAGTTTTAACTTTCTCTTTTCTGGTTATCGGGTGATGGTTTCCTGCCAGTTGTAGCACACATGCATTTCTAGACATATGGAGGGCTTCAACAGCTGGTGGAAAATTCCTTATCTTTTCACTCCCTTTTTCCAGGAACTTTTTGAAGCCCCCTCATATTTCATGTTTGTCTTCTAATCATACTCGCTTTTTTTTCCTCTCTCAGTAAATCACTTTCTATGATTTGCTGAGGGGGTTGTGCAAATGTCTAAGTTTTTCTCAACTAATTCAATTTGTTTGCAGTTGTTTTTATTTTTATTTTTAATACCAAGTTTATAGCAGTCCGCCACCCCAACACTGTGATTCATGAGATGGTTTTCCTTATTTTATTTTCTTCTTTTCTGCTGGGTTGTCACAGTTCAACATCCTTAAATGTTTTGTTCTGTCGGTCTGTCTGTCTGTCTGTCTCATGCCTATACAAGGCCTTGTAGAATATATCTAAAATTTTCCTTAGGACCAACTAACAGCTTGGCCAATGAGTAATTTTTTTCCCCTTAAGTCCTCATTAACAAGTGAAATGATTTCAACACATGGGAAGAATTGTTGATCTAATGCAGAGAGAGAGAGATTGATTGAACATTTGGTATTGGTCCCTTGTCCCCATTCTAATAAAATCAGGATTTCCAAATGTAAGAGGCTATTGCATTTTGGCTTTCTCGAGACTTACAAACTTGAGAGAGTATAAAAAAACCCAAACAATTTGTCATTCCCTTTTCATGTTTATTACGATGAATCTATTTATGGTCATGCTTTCTGTTAGGACGAGTGCATGGAACACAGTGGAGGGCTCCATAGAATTCTGCTAAATGGAAGCTTGTTCATTTTTCAAGCACACTGCATTGCTTTATGCTCATTGTTCATTCCTCTTAGGTCAGAGAGTTTGACACCAATTTTACATACGTGCAAAGGTCAGAATTCGACGTGGAGCCGGACACTAAGTACGTATTTCAAGTGAGATGTCAAGCAGCAGGTAAACGCTATTGGCAGTCGTGGAGTTCCCCCTTTTTTCACACAACGCACCAAACAGGTAAGCATATTTATGTGTTTTCTCTTTTTTAGGCTTTTCTTTCAACACCTATTTCTCTCTGAAGTAGTTTGTCTCCCACCACTTCCAATAAAACAGACAGAGCTATTTTAGGAGAGGCGGTTTGGGTCCGAATGGACTTGGTGGCAGCGTTGGAGTTTGTTTGTTGTTGGTCGGTGCCATTGAATCGGCTCCGACCCATAGCGACACCATGCCCGACAGAACAAACATGGCCTAGTCCTGCGCCATCCTGTTCCTGTGCCCGAGCCCATTGATGCCGCCACCTTGTCCATCCATTGCATCCGGGGCCTTCCTCTTTTTCACCCAACATGATGCCCTTCTCCAGGGACTGGTCTCTCCTGACAAGAAGTCTAAAATACATAAGATGAAGTCTTTCCATCCTTGCCTCTAAGGAGCACTCTGGCCATACTTCTGCCAATATAGATCAGATTGTCCTTGTAGCAGTCCATGGTACCTTCAATATTCTTCTCCAGGACCACCATTTAAATGTATAGATTCTTCTATTGTCTGCCTTATTCAGTGTCCAAATTTCACATGCGTATCAGGCGATGGAGAATACCATGGCTTGGGTCAGGCACACCTTAGTCCTTAAAGTACCCTCCTTGCTCTTCAATACTCTCGAGAGGTTTTGTGCAGCAGATTTACCTAATGCAATACACCTTGTGATCTTGATGACTACTTCTACGAGCATTGATTGTGAATCCAAGTAAGACAAAATCCTTGGCAACCTTAAACTTTTCTATGATTATCATGATGTTGCCTATTGGTCCAGTTGTGAGGATTTGGGTCTTCCTTACATTGAGGTGTAATCCATACTGAAGGCTACAATCCTTGATCTTCACCAGCAAGTGCTTCACATTCGCCTCACTTTCAGCAAACAAGGTCGTGTCATTGGCACATAGCAGGTTATTAACAAGCCTTCCTCCAAGCCTGATGCTACACTCTTCTTCATATAATCAGCTTCTCTGATGATTTGCTCAGCATACAGACTGAGCACGTATGGTGAGCAGATACAACCCCAGCCCACACTTTTCCTGATTTTAAACCATGCAGTGTTCCCCTGTTCTGTTCTCACAACTGCCTCTTGATCCATGGACAGTTTTGAATGAGCACAACAAAGTGTTATGAAACTCCCATTCTTCACAAGGTTATTCACAGTTTATGATGGTCATCATAATCGAATGCCTTTGCAGAGTCAATGAAACACAAGGAAACATCTTTCTAGTATTCTCTGCTTTGAGCCAAGATCCATCTGATATCAGCCACGATATCCTTTGTTCTTCATCCTCTCTGAATGTCACCTAAACTTCCGGCAGTTCCCTGTCAGAGGGTTTGGTACCATTTAAACGGTCATCAGGCTTTGATGTCGCTAGGATTGGCTGCAGTGTAAGGAGTCCTGGTAGTGCGATGGTGACGAGTGGGGCTGCTCACTCAATGTCAGCAATTCGAAACCGGCAGCTGTGAGGGACTTGGCTCTCTGCTCACACACAGAGTCGCAATCTCAGACACTCACTGGGGCAGTCCTATGCTCTCCTGTAAGGACTATGAGTTGGCATTGACTCAGCGGCAAGAGTGCGATTTTGTTTTGGCTGCAGTTTAAATATAGTCCTCAATTTTCTGGGCATAAAAGCACCTGGGTGATTGTTGAAGATGCACATTCCCTGTCCTTGTTCCAAGATGGTTGACATCACAGGCCAGTGGGTTGGGAACGCTCTGGAGTCAGCATTTTTTAAAATCTTTTTACAAACATCTTAATTGATTATTCTGAGACATATAACCTCAAGCCTTCCTTTGAAAAATGTTATTCTAATGAGGGAAAGTACAAGCAAGATTTGCATTAAATCCTCAAGGCCACATTGATCAAATGCATTCTCCTAAATGAGACATGAATTGAATAATTTCTTTTTTTTTTAAATCATTTTATTGGGGGCTTGTACAACTCTTATCACAATCCATACATACACTCATTGTGTCAAGCACATTTGTACATTTGTTGCCATCATCATTCTCAAAACATTTGCTTTCTGCTTGAGCCTTTGGTATCAGCTCCTCATTTTTCCCCTCCCTTCCTGCTGTCCCTTCCTCACGAATCCCTGATAATTTATAAATTATTATTTTGTCATATCTTACACTGTTTTATGTCTCCCTTCACCCACTTTTCTGTTGTCCATCCCCCAGGGAGGAGGTTATATGTAGATCCTTGAAATAATTTCAATAGATGTGGATAACCAACTCTTTGCAAGTCAATCAGAAAGAACTAAACTTGTTTATTAATTCTCTTCTCAACAAGAATTCAGCTGCCCTAATACCTTTAGTATATATTCTGGAACCCTGGTGACTTAATAGGTTACGCATGAGGCTAGTAACTCTAAGGTCAGCAGTTCAAAACCACCTGCTTCTCTAAGGGAGACAGTAAAGACTCACAGTCTCAGAAACCCCACAGGGGAAGTTCTACACTATCCTAGGGTTATTATGAATGGGAATCAGGTAGATGGCAGTGAGTTCTTTGAATAGTTTACATTTATATTTGTTTATATATGTCATTTAATAATAGACAATAGACTTCAGTACTGTGTATTGAGTTGTCATGATAGTGTATAATAGCCCCATATCTCCCTATTCAATGATGTTTATATATTTGATTTAAAAAATTATCTTCAGGACTACATGATTTTGTTTTAATTACCATAATTATTACAATAAAATATCTTGCAATTATTGTTTATTTTTTATTAAAAGGTCATTTTATTGGGGGCTCTTACACCTCTTATAGCAATCCATACATCAATTGTATCAAGCATATTTGTACATATATTGCCATCATTATTTTCTAAACATTTACTTTCTATTTGAGTCCTTGATATCAGCTCTTTTTTCCCTCCCCCAACCCTCCCTCACCCTGTGACCCCTTGATAAATTATAAATTATTTTTATTTTCATATCTTTCATGGACGACTATCGCCCTTCCCCCACAGTTCTGTTGTTTGTCTCCCATGGTAAGGGGTGGTGGTGGTGGTGGTGGTGGTGGTGGTGGTGGTTATATGTCAATCATTGTGATGGGTTCCCCCTTCCTCCCCTCCACTCCTCACTTTCCCCCTACCCTCCTGATATCCCTACTCCAATTCTTGTTCCTGGATTCTGTGTGTCGTGAGCTCCTATCTCTTATCTGTACCTGTGTACATGCTCCGGTCTAGCACTTTGACATGCACTTGAGATATTGGTGTCATGAAATCAGGTAGAAGAGCCAAAAACCAGATGCAATGTTTTGGGCTCCCCCTAAAGTCCAAATCTTAGAAATACATTATTGAGACAATACCATTTATCAGGTCTCTTAAAAGATTAGTTTTATTAACAAGTCTTGCACTAAATTGATATTTTACTAGTTTGGGTACCTTATCATAGAATTTATAGAATTTAATTAATAATTGATCTTTTGTCAAGAAATATTATTTTAATTGCTAACTAATACTATTTATGAAGTGTATACATGGGGTATCCCCCAGAACGGGACTTTTTCCCAAAGCTATGTGAGATAGTTTATTGTGCCAGCCTGGCTGATAAACACAAGTGGGATTAACTGAAGGGCGGAGAGATAATGGCTCGGTGAGCCTCACCTTTCTTGTCTCTTGCTCTTTGATCATCGGACCAGTGTGCGGCTGCCTTGCTTGTTCTGTGCCTCAATTTATAGGCTACACTATCTGTGGGATGCCTAGCCTGTGGACTGTGTCGCTGTAAGTTAAGGTCCCTTTAAGACATCTCTGGAGCTGGGGACTGGCAGTTGGGACTGGTGGTTAGTTGACAGTTGGTGATCTGCTTTGTGATTGGCTGCTGTGTTGACATAGCCTAGCTCTCTCTATAAATAGAGGAAGATCTGGAAGCGGACTGGACTTGAAGGACTGCTAGTCTCTCAGAACTCTCTCTCATGGGAGTTAGTTGCACTGAGCCATTTGTAGTGCTTTATAATTTAACTGTTCATTTCTTGTATTATATATTTATCTGTATATGATTTAACAGTTCATTTCTTGTTGTATATCTAATTATCTTCATAAATAACTATATTTAATTATCAGCAATTTGGTTTTTTCTCTCTAGAAAACCCTGTCTAACACACTATGTATTTAAAATTCTTTTACAAAACAACCTTTTCACCTTCAATGTACTCTCCCTTACACTTAATACATTTGTCAATCGTGCAATTCCATTATTGGAAACATTTTTCAAACTTCTCTGTTTGGATGGCTGAGAGCACCTCCCTCGTTTTTTTCTTCATTTCTTCTACTTAGTCAAATAGCTGTCCTTTCATGTCCCTCTGCATTCACAGAGACAAAGAGAAGTCACACAGAGTGAGGTCGGGCGAGTCAGGTGCGTGGGGCAAGAGAGACATGCTGGTTTTTGACAAAAGCTGGAGCACTCAGAAGGCTGCATGAGCAGGTGCATTGTCGTGGTGGCAAAACCAGTTTCCCACCTGCCACAAATCAGGCCTTTTTTGTCACACACTGTTACACAATCTTTTCAGAACCTCTAAATAAAAAGCTTGATTTACAGTCTGTCCTGGTGGAACAAAATCCAAATGCACTATTAGATCACATTTTCATCCATTCAGGAAGTTGTTGGATGTCCAGAATTAGGTTTGTCATTATCAACATTTCATCTTTATTGAAATGAGAAAATCACACATGCACTTGAATTTTTCCCATAGTGCTGTCCTTATTAGCTGTGCTGAACATCACAACAGTTTCTGTGGCATTTATACAAAACAGTAAACAAAATTTGACAGCCACATTCTGTTCTCTTAAATCGGCCATTACAAATACCAAGCTTTGAGTGAAACTGCATTTACAAAAAAAATTCACTGTGACCAGAGAGAACCTTCCCAGGATATGCCACTGGGTGCACTAACTCAGAGCGAGTTGCTTGCTGCTTGCTACTCACCTAGTAGGAAAAATGCATACCACGAAAGCTCTGCTCCACCCAGCAAAATT